TACTAAAAATAATAAAAAGAAAAGATATAGATAAAAATAATAATATATTTTATCAGAAACATTAAATTTATTATCATAAATATATTATATATTTATACATTTATATATTTACAATGATCTAACTGTATAAATTTGTGCCTATTTTTTTTTATTTATGTCTATATTTTTATATAAATTAACTTATAAATAATATACATATAATATATATAAATTTAATTTAATATATATGAAGTTAATTAAAAAAATCACATAGAAATTATTTAATTAAATTTTTTATTCTAATAAAAATAACGATAAAATATCGGAAAAATCTTTATTTTCCAATTTAAATTTGGAAACATTGTTGGTAATATTACCGTACGTTTTTAAGAGCTAAAAGCTATTAGTTTTAAACGTTCGGTTTGCAATGTTTTTTCAGACAAAATGGAAACCGATAAATTAGATATCCGACTCATATAACGCACACTTTGCCAGAACGTTGTCGAAACGAAGGTATGAGGATGTCAGCGACAGCCACGTTACGATGGCAACAACGGCAATTCGTTGTTGGAATAAACGATCGGCCGAACCACGGGAAACCCTCGTCGTCGTTTGTCAATGCGAACGACTTATTTACGGTTACTTGAAGGAAGAACACAAGAGAACGAAAGCACGGAGATACAGGCGGAGATACAAGAATTTAAGCACCACCTTCGCCCCGTTATACGCGTCAAACAAAACTGATGACGGGTCTTGAAAACTATTCAAAATATTCGCAGACATGATTCATCTACAATTGCGAAAAGATGAAATTCTTTCATTTCATTTATATTAGTGAAATATTTATTCTGTGTGAATATTATTGAGATATTATTGAGATTATTAAGATTAGAAAAATGATCATGAAAAAATGATCTTATTTATTATTTATTACTATTTATTATTATTAAAATATTCAAAATATTCATAGGTATGATTCTTCTACAATTGTGAAAAGATGGAATTGTTTTATTTTGTTTATAAAAACAAAATATATATGTATAAGATATATTATATATATATATTGATTATATATATTATATATATGTATTATATTATATATATGTATAAGATATTATTGAGATAAAATATTTGAAAAATGATTATAAAAATAATTTATTACTTTTAATTAAATCTTATTAAAATATTCTTCTATAGAAAAATGGAAATTTATGAATGAAATAAAATAAGAGATAAAAATGATCATGAAAATAATATATTAAATTGTTTAGTAAGTTTCAAATAATTATATTATTAAATTATTTTTTTTTAAATTTTTTAAGAAATAAGTAATTTTTAAATTAGGTAGTTAGGTTTAAATATTTATATATTTCAAATTCCAGGAGAATTTTTAAATTTCAATATTTTTTGAATTAAAAAAATTAAAAATTAAAATTATTTTTTGAAGTTATTTTAAAAATAATCAATTTTTGAAAAAATACAAATTGATGAAGTTTAAAATTTAAAGTTCTTTTTCATAAAAAAAATAAATTAATATATTTACAATTGAATAATTCATTTTTAGTATTTTGTGGAATAAATAATTTATTATTTACTATTGTTATTTAACAATTTTATATAACAATTTGAAAATGAATTTTTAACATGCAACAAAAAATGTTTATTTAATATTATTGGTATTTTTATTTAGCATTATTGCATACTTATTACGATTATTACGATTACATTTATTATTCAATATTTATTTTAAATATTATTAAATAATAATTAATATTAATTGAAATAATTATTTTTAAATTATTCAATAATTAAATTCATTTTGAATTTATACTTAGCAAATGTATTAATATAAATATAAAAATACTATAAGAAATTTTTATGAATTTTTTTTATATGGAAATCTAATATATTAATATTTTATATTACTTTT